ACGACCTGAGAGCCCTGCAGGAAAGGGTGGCCACAGCACTCAAGGGAGTGATTGAAAAAGCCTCTTCCACTTCCCCCAATGAACAAGTGGTTATCTCCACCCTGCTACCACAAAAATACTTTCACCCTGCCAACATACAGCAGGTGAATGTGAGCATTTCCCGGGACTGTGCCTCAAAACCTAATGTCTACCTGGCCCACCATTCCACCTTGGACTGGAACAGCCTTTATGACCAGGTCCACCTCTACAAGGCAGCAATCCCCACCTTTGCCAGGACCCTGAAGGACATCACCCTCAACCGCAGCCCCAGCACCTCACACAAGAGCAACAGAGAAATGACCCCCCCCCCCCATCCCCCCCAGACCAGCGAGACCCCCCTTGGAGGACCTGCAGCAAGAGGACCTACATCCAGACCACAGCACCACCAGTTACAACCCCACCCCAAACAAACTCTAGCCACACCCTATATAGGCCCCCCCAGCTCATTCTTATGGCCCCACCCATGCCCCCCTCCCCTGCAGCAAGGACCTCAACATGACAGCCGCACATATGCCCAGGCCATGAGCAGATTCACAGGCTCAACCACCACTAATACACACACACACAAGCCCCATCCTGCGACCTAAGAGGTACAGTGGGCTCCAAAATTACTGGCACCCCTGACTGGCAATGCACAAACAATACTTAAAAAAATAAACAATATAATTATAGAGATAAACTCAAACAACCAACATGTGAGAAATACGGTACTTTATTAATGTTTCAATGGAACTACCCAAAATCATACAATTATTTAATACAAAGTAAATGTAACCAAAATCAAGTTTTCATAATTATTGGCACCCCTCATTTAGTACTTAGTGCAAACAACTCTGTCAAGGAAAACAGCATGGAGTCTTTTCCTGTAATGTTTGACAAGGTTAAGGAACACATTTGGAGGGATGGACCATTCCTCTATACAGATCCTTTCAAGATCCTTCACATTCTTGGGTTTGCGCTTATCAACTGCCCTCTTCAACTCAGCCCACAGATTTTCGATTGGATTGAAGTCCAGCGACTGAGTTGGCCATGGCAGAACATTGATTTTGTTGTCACAGAACCATTTCTGTGTGGATCTTGAGATATGTTTTGGGTCATTGTCTTGTTGGAAAGTCCACCTACGGCCAAGTCCCAGCCTTCTGGCAGAGGCAACCAGATTGTCAGCCAAAATGTCCTGATACTTGGTGGAATTCATTATGCTATCAATCTTATCCAGTGCTCCTGGACCTCTGGAATTAAAACAGCCCCAAAACATCACTGACCCACCACCATATTTCACCGTGGGTATGAGGTGCCTCTCCTTGTATGCATCTCTGTTTCGACACCAAACATGCCGATGCTGTATCTAACCAAAACGTTCAATTTTGGTCTCATCTGACCAGAGCACCTTCTTCCAATCATAGTTTAAATGACGTTTGGAAAACTCCAAGTGCTTGTGTCTGTGTCTTGGGGTCGGAAAGGGCTTTCTTCTGGCAACCCTTCCAAAGAGCCTGTGGTTGTGGAGGTGGCGTCTGATGGTACATTTGAAACCTGGTGACCCCAAGATGCCACCAAGGCCTGCAATTATTTTAGTGATTCTTGGGGATTTTGTTGCTTCTCTCACCATCCTCCTCCCTATCCTGGAGGGCAAAATGCATTTGCGTCCTCTACCCGTGAGGTTTTCAACTGTTCCATATCTTTTTTTTTTTATATATATAATTGCCCTGACAATGCTCAGTGGTATATTCAATCGTTTGTGGATCTTCTTGTAGCCATTACCAGATTTATGAAGGTCTACGACCATCTGTCTCTTTTGAACTGCCAGTTCTTTTGTTTTCTTCATGGTGTTGGATCACAAAGGGATATTGCATGCGTGTTACCTCATTTTTATACCCTAGTGAAACAGGAAGTTATGTAATGGCTCAATATAGTTCCTTAAGACTTAGATAAACTTAAATAAGTGGAATTTAATTCCTGGTTTAATTTTGGTAGATGTTATTTACAATCATCTTTAAGGGTGCCATTAATTGTGAAACTTTGATTTGAAGGACATACATTTTGAATTAAATCAATAAATGATTTTGGTGGGTTCCATTGGAACATTAATATAGTACAGTATTTCTCACATGATGGTATTTTGTGTTTCTCTATAATGATATTGTTTATATTTTTTACAGTATTGTTTGTGCATTGCCAGTCAAGGGTGCCAGTAATTTTGGAGCCCACTGTATGATTCAGATGCTCAACATGCTCTGCTCACACCTACTGTAATGGTCAGAGCCTAAACCACAGGAAAACAACACTAGACACTGAAACACAACGTGTTTAATCCGGGAATATACAAGGACTGAGGTCATCTGCCTTTGGCCTAAAGAGCAGGAACCCAGACTTCAAAGACATTGGATATACAGACATTGTCATCCTACAAGAAACATGGTATAGAGGAGACGGACCCACTGGTTGCCCTCTAGGTTACAGAGAGCTGCTAGTCCCATCCACCAAACTACCAGGTGTGAAACAGGGAAGAGACTCAAGGGGTATGCTAATTTGGTATAGAGCAGACCTAACCCACTATAATAAATTAGTCAAAACAGGAACATTTTACACATGGCTAGAAATTAATAAGGAAATTATTTCAACAGAGAAAAATGTCCTCATGTGTGCTACCTATATACCCCCAATAGAATCCCCATACTTTAACGATGACAGCGTCTCCATCCTAGAGGGGGAGATCAACCATTTCCAGGCCCAGGGACATGTACAAGTCTGTGGCGACCTAAATGCCAGAACTGGACAAGAACCTGACACTCGTAGTACACAGGAGGACAAACACCTATCTGGAGGTGACAGCATTCCCTCCCAAATATGCTCCCCAACTATGACAAAACAACCAACAAAAAACAGGTCACAACTCCTGCAACTCTGTCTCACACTGGGTCTGTACATAGTCAATGGTAGGCTTCGAGGGGACTCTTACGGTAGGTACACCTACAGTTCATCCCTTGGCAGTAGTACTGTAGATTACTTTCTCACTGACCTCAACCCAGTCTCTCAGAGCGTTCACAGTCAGCCCACTGACACCCCTATCAGATCACAGTCTACTTGAACAGAGCAATACTCAATCATGAGGCATCAAATCCAAAGGAACTACATAATATTAAGAAATTCTACAACCACCTAAAAGGAAGCGATTCTCAAACCTTCCATAACAAACTGATCACCTACAGAGAGATGAACCTGGAGAAGAGTCCCCTAAGCAAGCTGGTCCTGGGGCTTTGTTCACAAACACAAACAGAGCCCCGGGTAGCAACACAATTAGACCCAACCAAATCATGAGAAAACAAAAAGATAATTACTTGACACATTGGAAAGAATTAACAAAAAAACTGTGCAAACTAGAATGCAATTTGGTCCTAAACAGAGTACACAGTGGCAGAATAACTGACCACTGTGACTGACCCAAAATGAAGGAAAGCTTTGACTATGTACAGACTCAGTGAACATAGCCTTGCTATTGAGAGGCCGCCGTAGGCAGACCTGGCTCTCAAGAGAAGACCGGCTATGTGCACACTGCCCACAAAATGAGGTGGAAACTGAGCTGCACTTCCTAACCTCCTGCCAAATGTATGATCATATTAGAGACACATATTTCCCTCAGATTACACAACCACAAAGAATTTGAAAACAAATCAAATTTTGATAAACTCCCATATCTATCAGTGCAGAACAAACACCATTGTAAATACAACCCATATTTATGTTGATTTATTTTCCCTTTTGTACTTTAACTATTTGCACATCGTTACAACACTGTATATAGCCATAATATTACATTAGAAATGTACTGTTTACTGTTCATTGATTGTTTATTTAACTTTTGTTTATTATCTATTTCACTTGCTTTGGCAATGTAAACATATGTTTTCCCCATTCCAATAAAGCCCTTTGAATTGAATTGATTGACAGTGAAAGTGAGGATAGAGGAGAGAGATGTTCCGGCTTATGGAGCAGACTGGATTGATTTGGGCTCATGGCCTAACCCCATTGTGAGTATGAAAGTAATTTCAGTAACTCAGTTACTGACATCTCTGCAATGGCACAAACTCACACACACACACACACACACAGGTGAAGAAAATACACTGATGGTCGGATAGATAGACAGAAACTTCTGAGGTCTCCACTCATGAGCAACAGAGGAGAAACACACTACAGAGAACACCGCAATGCCAGAGTCATGTTCATTAAGCAAAAATAGAGGCAAAAACATACGCCCAGAACTTGAACATTGGTGACAGCCTAATTCAATGTCCATTTTCTCCCCTTTTCCACCAACTGACTGTGAGCCATTTCCAAGAGGATTCCTGTGCTAGTGTCCCAGTTGAATCAGCTCTCTGCCAGACATCAACCCAGTAAAGCTGGTAAACACCATCCTATATTGTTGTGCCCTACTACCCTAATCATCACCCAGTCATTACATAACTAATACATCCTACAGATAGGCGTATGTGTGTGTGTGTGTGTGTGGGGGGGGCACGCATGGTAAAGTGACAGGGGATCTTTAGAGGTGATGAAATCACCTTTGGTTGGTAAGTAAGACACCCCCCCCCCCTCCCTAAATTTGCTGTCCCACACAGACAGACAACACTAGAGGCAGAAAATACAACACCACGGAATATGGAATAATATCAAATTATATTAGTATGCCAAACGAAGGCTATACTGATATATTCCCCGAAGAACAGTATGTTCAAATATGTTCAAAACTAATGACACATCAAAGCTTTAGAGAGCATAGATTTGGGGAATTTATCAGGGATGTCTACTAATGACCTATCTATCTAAATAGTTTTCATACTAATATCAATATCAATGGATATCATTGCACAAGGATAGTAGGCCATTTAGACAGGGTGTCTGAGAATAAGGAGTTTTAAGTTGGACTGATCCATCTTTTGGCTGGTCCACTGTGGCTCTTACCAGCGCAGGGCGATCTTGATGGGCGTGGTGAGGCAGGAGGTGAAGAGGTCAGCGGGGAGGTCAGGGTTCATGGGGAGAAGCTCTGAGGCCTCGCAGGCGGCCAGCTGAATACAGTTCTTCATGGAGGGGGGCAGAGGCATCTGGGCCAGGGGGTGGTTGGGGTTAATGGCTGCCACCTGGAAGAGGACAAGAAGACTTGGATTGGAGATGTGAGGCTAATAGAGGGATATACTATACAGAGACACAGGTCAAACAAACAAGATACAGACGGACATAGACAGGTGGCAAAACGATTTCACGCTATCCCCGTCTGAATAAAATGCTAATAAAAAAGATAGATTAACAGACAAACAGAGATTCTCACTTGACCTTTCTCCATCTTACTAGCTCTGACTTTGCTGATAGCTACTTTATTGAGGAGAAATGTACTTACTATGACTGTGATATGTGGTTGTCCAACCTAGCCATATTAAGATGAATGCACTAACTGTAAGTCGCTCAGGATAAGAGCGTCCGCTAAATGACTAAAATGTAAATAAAGTCAAAGAGCCAAAAAGAGGTCAACGGAAAGAGAAATAACAGTCAGAGTAGACAAAGAATAAGATGACAGAACAAGAGAGAAGGGAAAACCAACCAGAGACGGACACAGGGCAAGAGAAAGATGACCAGACAAAAGAACATGAATCGAACCAACAGAAAAGGTGAACAGACAACAGAGATAATAGGCCAGAGGGATGTACAGGTCGGAGAAAGGGAGTGAACAACCTTTAGGTCATTGGATCCCTCTCACTGCTCTAAACTTCTGCTATCATCCGGTAATGAGATGTGGAGGAGAGCTTTTGAAGTTCAGGGCGGCGGCGGTGTTCGATAGCACAGTGTACTCTGAACAAACAGCCTCTGGAGCAGATATTGGCTAATGTGATATTATCATTCTGGGGAGTTGGATCACCTGTACAATGCCCTGAATACAAAGGTGTGTGAGAGACAGTGTGTGTGGGGAATGGAAAGGTGTGTGTGTACGTTTGTGCCTGAGTGTATGTATGTGTGTGAGTGTGCGTGTCTACTCCTGTATGGGGGTATAGATCCACCCAGACCTGGTTTAATGTCAGCCTGCCTTAGGCAGCTTGTGGAGGTGGTGGTATTTCATTTGATGACCTCGGAGCGCTCCTTTCCCCACCCAGGGCTGTGTACCATGGACTCCCTTATAAATACTTTACAGGCTGATGACTGAAGTGCTTGTACTTTCGAGCTTCAAATGTGGGAGTTCTGCCATAATTCAAATTCTGGTGCAGCCTAAATCTCCCAATGACTATACGTGACTTAAGTCCGAGTTTCAGGCAAGGATCTCGAGATTTGTACTGATGCCATAGCTGATGCATGTGATGGAAGGGTGCAATACAATTGAAAGCACTTTGTCGATCTAGCCTTATGATAGCTAGCTTCATGGTAGATGAATAGTACCACGTCTTGAAGAGTGAGACTCTTCATTGCACCCTGGAGATTGAGATTGAACTGCCACTTCTAGTACCATCCCAACCGTGAGAGAAGAGGGAAATTTTCTGTTTTTAAAAACAGCGCTGTGCCAAGCTGGCTATAATAGCTGTGCAGGGAGTAAGTGAAAGGTCTTCTCCAAAGTGTCAACCCAAACACTTACAGTGCAGTAGACCAGGGACACATGCCCACTCGATCAGACACAGAACAACTTCTCTCTATATCCTCACATCTCCTTAGTCTTTAGGGAGAAAAGGGAACGTGCGATACACACATGCAATGCACTCAAAGACAAGTGTCACACAGCATCACACAATCTGGAAAACGTGAGGAGAAAATAGCTAAATTCTCCCCACACTCAACAACCTCAACATCTGATGCAAGACATGGTAAACCTAGGCTTACTAACGCCACTTACGCATGTGTGCAGACGATGGAAGGCTGGTACTATTTTCCTTAGGGCTAGCCTAGCTGGTAAACACACACTGAAATGCAACCAGACAGACAGACCAGCATTTTCTCCATCTTTTTCCCTTGGTGAGGTTCAAATTCAACATTCCAAAACGTTCAATTGAAATCAACAGAGGCATGAAAAGTGTGTGTGTTTCAGTGTGTTGTATGATTATACATTTCAGTTCAGGGTGCAACAGAGCTATGTGCAGAATATCCACTCCACCTAAGCAATGGTAAGAAATACTCAACCTCAACACTACATGATAAGACAGGATGAGTCCTACCAGTTATAGAAACATACAGGGAATAAGTCACTTCTGGATCTAGAGCGCTCCTCTCTAATTGTAGCTTGTTATAATGAGGAGACTCCAGAGAAAGGAAACTAAACGTAGAACCTGCAGCTAGCCAACGTCTCAGTGTGATATCTACGTGTGTCTTCATTGATTTTAGGTACACACACATAAATAACACTATTAAACCTACAGCTCTGCTCAGATCTGTCTAGATTAATAGGGACGTGTGTGCTTGCGTACGTACACTGTGCATGTCCGTGTCTTGTACGATTACATCTTCTCTGTTACTTCTTAATGATGAAATGGGGAATGTTACACAAACCAAAGCATATTGGATATTTTAACTACTCAGTAATGCATGATGTTGGATCAACGATGGTGGAACAATATTGTTACACAAATCATTTGGGATATTGTGATACGGGTACACAATACACCTTATGGTAAATACCACATTACAGCCAAAACCGGCTGCTTTTCGGTAATTAACATATTAGCATATTGTAATCTCACAAATTTGCATTACAATCAGCATGGAAGGATTTTATTTTCATCACACTGGGGTATGTGAATTTTTTAACTGACACCAATTCACAGAACTAATCATACTGTACGGGGGGTATGGGGAGGGGGGGGGGGTTGTTAACACGTGCGCGCACGCACACACACACACAGAGGGAGAGCAAGGAGACAACATAAAACACACACGCAAACACAGCCTATACAATACACACACATGCACGGACACACACAGAAGTGTGCATTGACTGAGAACAGATATACCAACACAGACAAAATGCACACGGATGCACAACAAAGATAAATATAAAAAGGTACACACAATCAGACTCCATCCACCCAACAGAAAGAGCACACACACACACACACACACACACACACACACACACACACACACACACACACACACAGTCATTTCCGCACAACAGATAATGCAGTGAGCATCATATTGCTGACTCCATGCAGTAAGTTATCAAATATTTAGCAGGAAGTGGACTGCTCATAACAGAGCACTCAGACACCACACCCCTACTGAAGGTTGCATGTCTGTTAAGAGAGAGAGAGAGTCAGAGAGATGGTGAAAAAACACCTCCCCCTCATTCCGCACCACTCCCCCTATTTCCTGGTAAAAAAGGCCTCTGGTGGGATCAAGTCTGTCCCTATGTGTATGTGTATGTGTGTGTTTGCGTGTGTGTGTGTTTATGAGAATGCGTGCACATAAGGTTGTGTGCGTGTGAGAAGGCGTGGGCGTGAACTGGGGCCACCCTCTTCCTGCAGAGCGTTATGCTGTAGCAGAAACAGGGATGGGAAAGATGGGGCGAGGAGGAGGAGAGGGACACCCTGCCTGGGTACTATCATGCATCTTTAATAGCCTTCCGGAACTACCTCCCTCCCTCTATCTCTCCTTCCTCTCTTTCTCTACCTCCCTCCCCATCCTATTTCAATATTCCTCTTTCATCTATCCCTCTCTCTCTTTCCTCTCCCTCCCAACTACCATTCATCTTTCCATCCCCCTCCCCATCCCTCTCTTCCTGTTGCTGTGCAGGTGGGGGAGAGGTTCACTAAGGTGTAAAGTGGAGCCATTTTGCCTTCCGCCAGCTGATTGATGTTATGTAACTTGGCCTAGTTCTAACACAGAGGGCTAGGAAGCTAAAAGCAGTGTGGTCTAATGGAGTGGTAACCCAACTGGCCCAGAAAAACTATATATTTTGAATACAAACTGACCGAAGACATCAGCCTTGAACACTAAACACAAAGCATATTGCCTTTTGCCCTTTGCTGTTGAATAAGATTCGTTCACAATGTCACTTTTATTTTTATTGAAGACCAAGACACATACTTACAGTGGTGAGAACAAGTATTTGATACACTGCCGATTTTGCTGGTTTTCCTACTTACAAAGCATGTAGAGGTCTGTAATTGTTATCATAGGTACACTTCAACTGTGAGAGACGGAATCTAAAACAAAAATCCAGAAAGTCACATTGTATGATTTTTAAGGAATTAATTTGCGTTTTATTGCATGACATAAGTATTTGATACATCAGAAAAGCAGAACTTAATATTTGGTACAGAAACCTTTGTTTGCAATTACAGAGATCATACGTTTCCTGTAGGTCTTGACCAGGTTTGCACACACTGCAGAAGGGACTTTGGCCCACTCCTCCATACAGACCTTCTCCAGATCCTTCAGGTTTCGGGGCTGTCGCTGGGCAATACGGACTTTCAGCTCCCTCCAAAGATTTTCTATTGGGTTCAGGTCTGGAGACTGGCTAGGCCACTCCAGAACCTTGAGATGCTTCTTACGGAGCCACTCCTTAGTTGCCCTGGCTGTGTGTTTCGGGTCGTTGTCATGCTGGAAGACCCAGCCACGACCCATCTTCAATGCTCTTACTGAGGGAAGGAGGTTGTTGGCCAAGATCTTGCGATACATGGCCCCATCCATCCTCCCCTCAATACGGTGCAGTCGTCCTGTCCCCTTTGCAGAAAAACTTCCCCAAAGAATGATGTTTCCACCTCCATGCTTCACGGTTGGGATGGTGTTCTTGGGGTTGTACTCATCCTTCTTCTTCCTCCAAACACGGCGAGTGGAGTTTAGACCAAAAAGCTCAATTTTTGTCTCATCAGACCACATTACCTTTTCCCATTCCTCCTCTGGATCATCCAAATGGTCATTGGCAAACTTCAGACGGGCCTGGACATGCGCTGGCTTGAGCAGGGGGACCTTGCCTGCGCTGCAGGATTTTAATCCATGACGGCGTAGTGTGTTACTAATGGTTTTCTTTGAGACTGTGGTCCCAGCTCTCTTCAGGTCATTGACCAGGTCCTGCCGTGTAGTTATGGGCTGATCCCTCACTTTCCTCATGATCATTGATGCCCCACGAGGTGAGATCTTGCATGGAGCCCCAGACCGAGAGTGATTGACCGTCATCTTGAACTTCTTCCATTTTCTAATAATTGCGCCAACAGTTGTTGCCTTCTCACCAAGCTGCTTGCCTATTGTCCTGTAGCCCATCCCAGCCTTGTGCAGGCCAACAATTTTATCCCTGATGTCCTTACACAGCTCTCTGGTCTTGGCCATTGTGGAGAGGTTGGAGTCTGTTTGATTGAGTGTGTGGACATGTGTCTTTTATACAGGTAACGAGTTCAAACAGGTGCAGTTAATACAGGTAATGAGTGGAGAACAGGAGGGCTTCTTAAAGAAAAACTAACAGGTCTGTGAGAGCCGGAATTCTTACTGGTTGGTAGGTGATCAAATACTTATGTCATGCAATAAAATGCAAATTAATTACTTAAAAATCATACAATGTGATTTTCTGGATTTTTTTATTAGATTCCTTCTCTCACAGTTGAAGTGTACCTATGATAAAAATTACAGACCCCTACAGGCTTTGTAAGTAGGAAAACCTGCAAAATTGGCAGTGTATCAAATACTTGTTCTCCCCACTGTACGTCATGCCACATTCAATTCCATTGCATCACATTGCCCATATTGTTATATGGCACAGTGGCTACAACCTTCCACTTGAGAGCATAGCTAGGCTAGCATGGAAGCGTGGTGTTTCACAACAGTTCCAGCTGGCTGGAACTAAGAGCTTTAGCCCATAGTGACCCACAGAGAACCCTGATTGGTCAATTCCACCAACACTTAACAGCTGAGGAGTGAAGGCTCCTCTCTCTATCCCTCTCTTTCTTCCTCTCTCTGGCACTCTGGCTCTAGACCTCTGTTGCCATCTCTCCCTCCCTCCTCTCCCTTTTTCTCTCTTCCTTGTCCGCTCCCTCTCTCTCCCGCCTATCACGTGTTATTGTTGGGCCGCTGGGCCTTCTCTCCTCTCCTCCGTCTTTCCATCTCTACATCCCTCTATCGGGCCGTGACACCTGCTATCTCAGCCTGGGAGTAGGGCAGAGGAAGTCTGGATGGACGGATGGTGAGAGGAGAGAAGCTGTGTTGCTGGTATTGAACTTAGCGTGACTGCATGGTGAAGGACGATTCTCCTCTCTCAGTCTTTTTCTCAGTCTCTCTAGACTGCATTGTAACACCTTTTTTCCATCCTTCGCCTCTCTCTGCCATCCCTTCCTCTCCCACTTCTCTTTTCCCCTACCTCGCTTTCTCACTTCCTCCCCCTTTCTCTACATATCATCTCTCCTTGTCCTTTTCTCACTCACCCTCTTTTTCTCTCTATTGTATTCCAAATCATCTGAAGTGCGTTCAAACTCCTCCATGAATAATTGAACTGCGTGTTATAAATGCACTTGAGATGCCACGGCCAGTAAGAAGAAACAGTGGAATAAAGGGGTTGGCGGGATGGTTGGGGGGGGGGAGATCCTAACCAAACCAAAACACTTTCATTAATTCATTTAGCTCCAGCTGCCTATTCGCTGGCTGGGATCAGAGAGAGGAGATTGTGAAATGCTTCTTTCATTCAAAAGATTTAGCTGGCTTGCCATTCGGAATTCAACGCACATTATACACACACACACAAACACACATCCCTTGGTCTCGCTGCGGGAGTGGTTGTGTGTGTATGGGGGAACTCTGTGTGTTTACGTCTGTGTGTGTGGACAGTGCATTCGGAAAGTATTCAGACCCCTTGACTTTTTCCAAATGTTGTTACATTACAGCCTTATTCTAAAATTAATTTGTTGTTTTTTCTAAATCTACACACAATACCGCATAATGACAAAGCAAAAACAGTTTATTTATTTATTTTATTTATAAATACAATTAAATGAAATATCACATTTACATAAGTATTCAGACCCTTTACTCAGTACTTTGTTGAAGCACCTTTAGCAGCGATTACAGCCTCGAGTCTTCTTGGGTATGACTCTACAAGCTTGGCACACCTGTATTTGGGGAGTTTCTCCCATTCTTCTCTGCAGAGCCTCTCAGGCTCTGTCAGGTTGGATTGGGGAGGTGTCGCTGCACAGCTATTTTCAGGTCTCTCCAGAGATGTTCGATCGGGTTCAAGTCCGGCCTCTCGCTGGGCCAATCAAGGACATTCAGATAATTGTCCCGAAGCCACTCCTGCATTGCCTTCGCTGTGTGCTTAGGGTCGTTGTCTTGTTGGAAGGTGAACCTTCGCCCCAGTCTGAGGTCCTGAGCAGGTTTTCATCAAGGATCTCTCTGTACTTTGCTCAGTTCATCTTTCCCTTGATCCTGACTAGTCCCAGTCCCTGCCGCTGAAAAACATCCCCACAGCATGATGCTGCCACCACCATGCTTCACCGTAGGGATGGTGCCAGGTTTCCTCCAGACGTATTGCTTGGCATTCAGGCCAAAGAATTCAATCTTGGTTTCTCTCTGTCAGAGTGACCATTGGGTTCTTGGTCACATCCCTGACCAAGGCCCTTCTCCCCCGATTGCTCAGTTTGGCCGGACGGCCAGCTCTAGGAAGAGTCTTGGTGGTTCCAAACTTCTTCCATTTAAGATGGAGGCCACTGTGTTCTTGGGGACCTTCAATGCTGCAGAAATGTTTTGGTACCCTTCCCCAGATCTGTGCCTCGTGCCATCCTGTCTCGGAGCTCTACGGACAATTCCTTCGACCTCATGGCTTAGTTTTTGCTCTGACATGCACTGTCAAATGTGGGACCTTATATATACAGGTGTGTGCCTTTCCAAATCATGTCCAATCAATTGAATTTACCACAGGTGGACTCCAATCAAGTTGTAGAAACCTCTCAAGGATGATCAATGGAAACAGGATGCACCTGAGCTCAATTTTGAGTCTCATAGCAAAGGTTCTGAATACTTATGTAAATACGTTTTGTTTTTTCTATACATTTGCAAAGATTTCTAAAAACCTTTGTCATTTCGCTTTGTCATTATGGGGTATTGTGTGTAGATTGATGAGGATTTAAAAATAAAAAAATCAATTTCAGAATAAGGCTGTAACGTCACAAAATGTGGAAAACGTCAAGGCCTCTGAATACTTTCCGAATGCACTGTATATCTCTCTCTGCCACCCACCTCCAGCTCCTGCTCTCTCTGCAGGGCGAACTGTTTGAAAGACTTGACGATGATGCCTGCGTTGGAGCAGTCGTAAACGAAGATGGAGGGGCTGCCCATCCACGTCTGGAGGTCGTACACAGACAGAGGGATGTACTGGGTATAGTTCTACAGGACAGACAGACAGGATGGGGGGTTATTACACGTGTTGATACACAACATTAGATGACATGTTATAGCCACCTACAATCCAGCATAAAAGTAGTAAATAGAAATCTTCTCTGTACTACTAGTTCATTCTACCAGCAATTTATTTTAAAAATCCTTGTCCAAAATGTGTTTAAGATGTTGCCAAATGCTTCTATCCTCTTTCATTACCAATAATGAAAGGAAGAGGGGGAGATATGGTTTTAACTGCACGGCTGCTTCCCAATTCACTTTTTGGATTGGATGAGGGGAAGCAATGAATGTCCTGGTGCTGTTTCTGACTACTGTACTGGGAGATACTTTGTGGTGGTGTTTTTAGGAGTTGGACCAGAGGGATCAATGGTGCCTTGGCACGCCGTAGCAGACAGTAGGCAGCAGGGCTGGTTTTATAGGACTCATCTTTAAGGGGAATAAAGAGAGGAAGAGGAGAGGAGAGGAGGAGAGGCTCTGGGGTGTACTGGGGAGAGGCAGTGCCCAAACCAAGACAGGAGTCGTGTGTCATTTAGAGTGGGTGTTTCATTGTGTGAGATGTCCCAAAAAAGAATGTATTTCTGTAATAACTATTTTTGTTGGTGTGGGTGTGTGTGTGGGATAACTTGTTTTAATCTATTATCAGTGGACCCAATGGACCCTGTTAGTGTGTGTGTGTTTATTCAACGATCAGACTTTATTTGTGAGTCTATGACTGTAGAGGCAGAAGTGGAAGTCATCATTGGACGTGTGTGTGTGTGTGTGTGTGTGCCTCTCACCTTGTTGAACACCCAGATCTCTCCATTGACGGTGGGTCGGGGGACCCCGTGTCCATTGTAGTGGAAGAGGACGCGCTCCTCCTTGGCGTTGCGTCTCAGGGACGTACACAGCTTCTTCACCTCGTCTACCGTGGGGTCCAGACTCTGCTTGTAACGTGCCTGAGAGAGCGAGAGAGAAAGAGAGAGAGGGAGCGAGAGAGAAAGAGAGCGAGAGAACGAGTGAAAGAGAGAGCGAGAGAGAAAGAGAGAGAAAGAAAGCGTGGGAGAGAGAGTTAATATGATTTGATATGATTGTGTTCGGTGTTATCACGTTGCTCCAACTACCTGGCCCTCGTTTCAGCCGACAACATGAGTTTGATTAGAGAAGAGAGGAGTGAGAGAAGGAAAGAGATGCATCTCAGTTTGAGAGTGTGGACAGACACATACACCATAGTTTCAAGTGTATAGATTAATACACAGATGCGAGCGTAGAAATATGAAAAACAGGTGAAACAAGCAGGCAAAAACACCCACACAGCTCCCTCACGCAATTATTCTGAAATCAAAGGGCAGCAGGTTTTTTCAATTCAACTCACGCCTCTCCTCTTTCATTCATCATCAAACAACTTTGGAGAAACAGAGAGCATGTGGATTGACTGTCCTTCCAAGCCAATGCCTAGAGGACTCGAAATAACTAGACAACTGAATAGTGGTGCTGAAAGTAGGTTAGGGCTATGGGAGATGTATTTTTTATTGTTCTATTTTAATACTATATTTATATGAGAAAGGAGAGGTGTATTTGCGTCATTGCTATCCTATCTGGGGAGAATAGAATAGACTATTGTGTTTGCTGTAATAGGCTTCAGTGGCATATTTAAATAATGCTACTGCTGCTTTTAATTACGGAAACAGGCGTCGTGGTCAATTCGCAATGAGAGCAGAGTGGGACAATCGCCTGCTTTGTGTGGACACCGTCATACAAATATAAACTGTGTACATAGTACGCACATGGGAATCATACAAACAGTCAAACACGGGTTCTCTCTCTCAAACATGACACGCACAAAACGTTGCAACGTCAGTCACATGTCCGCTTCCTGTACAATGGATTAAAGTGAGCAATAAGAAATCAATCTCTGCTTTTTGTTTTGAGTGCTCCAACTCCTTTTTACCTCAAATTAGTCCTTTTGGATGTTTTTCTTGATAAGCCCTTCTCATGACACGCACAATATTACATAAACAGAATACCCATTCAACCTAGTGTTAACCAACTCACTTTTTTTACTCAACCAGTACAAAGGCTACTCCCTGTGATACCCTACACATCACATTAAATACACAGCATCCCCATTCAAACAATCATCATTCCATCATTTCCCATTCAAGGACTTCAGCATTTAACCCACACAATCATTAGAAACACCTAGCCAATTAGCAATGAACCAATCCGTCCATTAGTAATGGACCAATGTATTTGTATTCAGACGCCATCCAGTCTCCCCATTCCCCATTCGGCTTCAAACACAGTGAGCATGCCTTGAAAGCTAAAGTTGCTGATTGAGTTTGGTGCAATCAGATAGGACCGCAGTCTGAACACCGCCTGGTGGATAGACGCTCTCAACGATCCAATGTTGGTCCTTATGAGATTAAGTGTTATCAGCAGCTGCTAATTGTGTTAGAGTTAGGATTTCACAATCTGATGTACACTGAAATGTGAGTGGGGAGAGATGGGGCGGTAACTTGATCAGTTTTGTTTGACTAAACTTTCTTTAAGAGAGTGTGTTTGATGGAGGGAGAGAAAATGAAAGGGAGAGAAAGGAAGAAAGGAGAGAAAGTGAAAGTGTGTTTGTATGTTTGTGTACATGTGTCCATCATGCACTCTTAACTGCTGCTCCCCATCTTGACCTGAAGGGGGAGCCCTTGCACCCCACTGGGACTCTTCTTGCAGGTAAGTCAATACTCCCAGGAAGTCCTCCTCCCATCTGTCTTCTATCCTCCATCTCTCTGTCTCTGCAGCTACCTCCCAATGCCCAGCAGTGTCTGAGCAGTCCCATTGGCACTGAGCTGGGAATTTGAGGTGATTCTGCCCTTTCAGTCTCTGTCCGTCTCTGTTTAGTTGGCTCTATTGAGGTTTCCATTTATTGATCCATCACTCCTTCTAAAGCTCTGACTGACTCCATTGGTGCATGAAGTGGTTCTGTTGTTTCTGTCAATGTCAGGATAGATATGGTGCCTGGCCCACGTCAACCTGAGCCGAGCTAAACCCTGCCCTGTCGGTTTCAAGGAACAGGTACCTGGGAAGGATACAGATAGCCATGAACACAAAAAGACAAACAGTCTCATACAATCTCAGACATACTGATACCATAAGCTACTCAAATACACTCTCTCTCTCTCTCTCTCTCTCTCACACACATACGGGCATAGCCTACATGGGCACAGATCAACACGGGCACACAGGAACACACACGGGCAGTTGGGCACACACACACAAACATTTTCCACTGATGGTGGACCTGTGGGACTGGGGATAATCCCTGTACTAGAACAGGGAAAAGCACAGAGCGTAACCAACCTCTCATCTCTGATCTGCTCCATAACAATAAGTCCCAAATGGCACCCTATTCCCTATATAGTGCACAACTTTTGACCAGAGCGAGCTCCAAAGTAGTGCACGACATGCGGAATAGGGTGCCTTTCGGGACGGAACCAGAGTGAAAAAAAACACCCCATCATTAACACACTAAACCTTCCCTAAAGCCATTCTCAACATTGAGGGGTACAGAACAGTAAGCCACAGCGACAGACACTAAACTCACTCTGATTACAGAGGAAAAGATGAATGGTATTACCAGCCTTGCATAAATCTTGTGTAACAGAAATATGCGACACAGAGAAAGATGAGATTGAGAATGAAGAGATACTACTACAGGAGGATTGTAAGCTTCTGACCAGTCTGACAGTTATTTACCCGAAAGACTGAAAGCTGATAATCTAAACAGACTGAAGTGGTAGAGCAGAAGCATGTATGCAAAATAAAACAGCAACCTAGGGCTAAAAGCTCCAAAGAACAAGCAAGGATAGTGTCTGAAGACAGTTTGTATTGTTGACAGCAGCAGTGGCTGTGGCACCCCCACTTGTTGTCAATGAATGGAAATCTGTTGAGCGCTGTGCCTTTTCCTGTCAATAGGAAGGGCTGTGTTAACATTTCAGCACAAATACGGGGATTGTTTGGCTGAGAAGGAGAACCACAAATCTAATAGGCAGAGAGAGAGCGAGCACGAGAGAGCGAGAGATGGAGAAAGAGAGAGAGACAGAGAGGGGGAGAGAGAGACAGAGGGAGAAAGAGAGAAAGGGAGAGAGGAAAGAGAGGGAGAGGAGAGAGAGAGAGAAAGGAAAGAAGAAAGGGAGAGAGAGGAGAAAGAGAGGGAGAGAGGAAAGGAGGTAAAGAGAGAGAGGAGAGAGGGAGAAAGAGAGAAAGGGAGAGAGGAGGGAGGGAGAGAGAGGAGAGGGAGGAAAGAAAGGAGGAGGGAAAGGAGGGGAGAGAGGGAGAAAGAGAGAGGAGAGAGGAAGAGGGAGGTATGAGAGAGAGAGAGCTCTTTCGAGGAGAACGAGAGAGAGATCGAGATGAGAGAGAGGGAGAAAGAGAGAGAGCCCCGGGGGCGGAGGGGGGAGAGAGCAGGAGCGGAAATATAAATGGGGAAGAGGGGGAGAGAGAGACAGTCATTTCTCAAGCACTGTATCATCTTCCTGCTTTCAGCTGCCCAGATCAATACTGCTGAGGAGAAATGATGCCAATGGTTTGATGGTGCGTACACACACACAATGAGCAAGCCTGTATTTCTGTTCACTTTCACTGCATGTTCAAAAACACACCCTTTTATAGATCTGTCAGTGATGACGTGTGTTGGTGCGAAGTCAGCCAGGGGCTCCTTTACTTTGGGTCAATTGTCTTCTTTCAACTCACACTTCAGGAAATTGAATAGACCCTTATGTTACACCCGTTAATAGACACTCACAGTCTCACAGACACATTCTAGTCACAGTAAAGGTTATAGCTATCCATATAAAAGTCATTCTATTTCTATGGAGGGTACTGTCCTTGCCAGAATGTGTAATTGCATTACAAGTGTCATGACAATCTTATCACCTTGTACAATTATTTTAAAGAGATTATCTGGTACTTTTGTATACTTTTTAGCCAGTAGTTCCGAAAGTAGTGCTCACGAGCCAAAAGTGGTCCCCGAAAATTGCATACTACGTCACATATGTGCAGATACAGTATGTGCTCTCACACTCACTCACTCACTCTCTCTCACTCTCACACTCTCTCTCAAATAGTGAGGGGCTGAACCTCATTGGCTGGAACTCGAATTGCTAGGGGGCTGACCCACACGGGGGAAAATGGCACTGCACAGTTTTCAGTAAACAGTCGCATTCAAACTAGGGATTTCGTGTCTAATTGAGGTAAGACAATAATTATGTTCATAGATAATGCATGAATGAACTACACATTGGCACATCTAGCCCAAAGTGGGAGGTTTAAAAAAATACTTACTAGTCATCAAAGTTCCGGATCACGTCTTTAATCCAGACTGAGCTGTAAATAGCAAGTCAACCACAACGGGGGACTAGAATTGCTTTTTAAATAAAGTTTTCCTCGTCATGTCAGTAATTGCATACCTTTAGAGAGCTATTTATAACTTGTAAGAAATATCCACATCAACTAGCCCATGTCAGGTAACGTTATTTAGCTAGGTTTTTTAGCCCATAGATTTTGTTGTAATGTTCGAGTCACTCAAATATCACATGAATACACATTACGCATGGCAAAATGTATAGAATTGCAAGAAAATTAGCATTAAAACTGCAAAATGTTCTCTGAACTCCATGAAAGAATTTGTAGAATTGCAGAAAATAAGCTTTAAACCTGCAAAATGTTCTCTCCGCCAACAAGAGGGGTGTGAACAGTGTGTCGTGAACAGTGCTTGTGCCCATAGAAATAGAAATGGCGTGCGCGTGTGGATTGCGGGACATTCACCAATGCTGAAATGGGGACCTGAGTGAAAAGGTTTGGGAACACCTGGCCTAGTCTATAACGT